GAAAATATATTTCAGCAATGCTTCAACAAATCTAACAACGCAAAAGAAAGGAAATGTTCCATTCTAGAAAAATCACTCTTTGGATGCTGGAGTTAGGCTTTGGAAAGGCAGGGGATTAGGGAAAACCCTCTGCCCCACCTCTGGAGATTTATCTAACAACTCTGGAAACATCCAGTTTTGCACCTAAAGGTATCCAAATTACCTTCTGGGTTTCAATGCCAGCTCCACTGAGCAGAGCTTTGAACTTCACCCTAAGTACCGGCATGATTATTGCAGCAGTTACTTATTTATTTTTATTTTCTTTCCCAGAAAAATCAAAGAGCAGCTACAAAGCTACAGGAGTTACAGGTATCTTATGGCACTAACTCGGGCTCTGTATAAAACTCCACAAACAGGACTGTGGTATTTGGTAACAGCTCTGTAGTGACCCTCACTGGTGATAAAATCCAGAGCTCTGAAAACGAGAAAATGAACACCTGCATCTGTATTTCTAAACTTTCATCAAGTGGGGATTACAAGAACAAGAGCAATTATAGGCATTTTCCTGGAGGAAAACTCCCAAGTTCTCCAACAGAATCAAAAAGTAAGTATACTAATAGCAATTTACCTAACTCCAGCAGAGAATAATTTTAAAAAGAAAAATTTAAACTAATTTGTACATCCTCCCAGCTGGGAACAAAAAATTTAAGTTCAGTTAGAACACACTCCTGATTTGCAAAGCTTTTGTGTAAACAACTGTTAAACTTGGTGTGCCTATTATCTGTTTGATGCCTGCCCATCTGCTGGTGCCTTTTTGCTGAAGCTGAGGGTACAGAAGAGTTCTGACCCATTTCTCTGCCCTGAGTGCTTTGCTGGGCAGCAAGTAGGTTGTGTCCAAATTAACTGCAATAAGAATTAATTGCTGTGTCAAATTTGCACATTTCTGTGTTTCAAACACCTGCTTTAAGTTTGCTATAGCCAATGGAGAGATTTTTTTTTTCATTTTAATACACTATGCTGAAATAGCAGTAAGTCAAGAAAAAAGCCCAGTGACAAACAATTAAGAAAATTAGTTATTCCACATGTTACAGTCTACTACCAAAAATGTTGTCAGAAAATTATGCATTTACCCAACTTCTCCTAGCTTTAACACCATCACACCCTTATGTGAATTCTAAAACATACTTATTATTTGTCTAATGATACAGTTTAGGATTAAGCACAGAAGCTTTGAATACGGCACAGCTGTATGAAAAACAGTCCTCTAGCCCCCCACAACTCTGAGCTTGCTGAAACTAAATTTTAAAAGGTATGACATTGAGACTTATAAACCTGCTTTCAACTTCTTCTGCAGATAAACAGTCAATTGCAAGGCAGGGACGGCAGCAGGAATAGTGCCACGAGAAATGAAGACTTACCCTGACCTAATGATACATGACATAGAGCAAAGTAAGATCTGGAAAAAGCATTTCCCCCTTCTAATTCTATTGAAAAGTGCCCAGTATTGTCAGCCTTTCCCAAAATCACATGCAAGAATTGGGCAAGGATTTTGTTCCATGTGCAAGCAGCACATTTTTCAAAACCACACCAAGAGCTGTCACTACTACAAAGGCACAGTAAATTGTCTTTAGCAATTTTAAGTGTTAACAGAGACCAGCTCAGATAAAAATGGTGCATTTAATTGTGCGGTTCTGCAAAGTTCTGAGATGGCAATCAATGCTCAAAAGATGAAGCTGCAGCTCCAAATCCAGACTGAAAAGTGAGGCTGATCGGAACCTCCTTACTGTAAACCCAAAACAGGCACTGTTTGAAGCCAAGTACTGTAAGCAGATTTCCCGTATTGATCTTTTGGTAGCTGTGCTCACAAGAAATTAATTTTATGCTAGATTGAGAGGTTAAAAGAAGTTTCCTGTCTGCACAGTCAAAATATTATTGAAGCAATTCAGGTTGTCAGTAAAAGCTTAAACAAATTTGCTGATAATCCTGTTAATGACCTAGGTCAAGTGTTAACTGTTGTGGGTTATAAAACAGTGAAATTAAGGTGGCTGGTACCCTCAGGCAGGCAATATAGTTACAGAAGAGACCGAGGAGAAATTATTAAATTAAATCACAGAACACACTCGATTTCTTGATACCACAGGAATTATTCAGAAAGAGAAATGCATCCTTCTAAGAAAAAAGAAACACAATCCTCAGCAAGCAGAGAATACCCAGCAGAGTGGAACAGGAGAACCTGTGGTTTCTGTGCACCTACGGGGCTCAGTCTGCAAACTCCAAACTGGAAAAGTTGCATGTTAAATTTTCCTGACATTGTCCTGCCCAGCAGAAAACAGCACACACCTTTTACCAGCAAACACAGATTAATCTGAGCTTCAGAGAACCTCCTTGGGTTCCTGTGATTGAGTAGGGAAAAGTTCTCACGAGCACGGCAGAGAGTTTGAAAACAAACTCAGGGAAAGTTTTACTTTTTATCCAGAAAAAATCCTGAATAAAATTTCTCTGGGATGAAGCAAATTAAGAAAATCTCAAGCTGTCCAAGAAAAAGACAAAAAAGGAAAGCACTGAACACCACAAAGTGCAGTAAGACAGCAGTTTGTCTTCAGCCCCTCTTTCATCCTTTTCTCCCTTCATCCCATCCACTGCCACTATAGTATTACCACCAACAGTCATAAGTTTTCGTATTAATTACAAATGTTAAGTGAAGTTGGATTTAAAAAAAAAATATTATTTCAAGTCAAATAAATTCAGGAGCTATTTCTCTGCCCACACTCTCGTTACGTGCCCACTACAACATTTACATCCCCTAGAAGTTAGACTAAGCTACACAAACACACCAAAAATTAGTTCCATCCACTGTTAAAACAATTTATGGGGAGAATTTCAACAGCAGCTTTAATATAAAATGTAAGGAAAAAGGCAGACATTTTTATCTACGTGCCTACATTAACAAATGCTGTCCAAAATATATCTTTTTTTATTCTCAGTGTTGGAAAAAGGAAACTTTTCTAAATACTCCAGAGAAATATAGAAACATCTATCTCTAGTTTTGGGAGGAAATTTATGGGAACAACACCAGAAATGTAAATGAAGTGGATAGAAAAAGATTATTTAATAGAGAAAAACATCATCTTCTGACATGATTTAAAGCTGCACGCTAACACTTGTTCATCAAATAAGTGGGCCAGCAAATTATAAGAATTAAGATTTCTAAACTCACACGATCAATCCATGTAACGTAAATAAATAAAAGGATTACTGAGCTTTCCTAAATGGGGTTTAAAAAAAAACAACTGAAAAGCACTTGGACAAGTGTACTTAACATGCATTCCGTATGACACCCATATTTTCCCTTCTTTCCCCATTCTCAGCGCCAGTGGCTCCAAAGAAAGACACAAAAAGTGGGGTTTTTATGCACACTGGAACGCTCCAATATCTTTCTGGCATAGCCACTCAGTTTGCAGAATGTGCCTCCACTGCCATGGAGGCAGAGCTGCTCCACTGACTGACAGAACCACAACCCTTCCCTAAGAGGAATGGTTATCAGACAACAGTAACCCCTACCCACGCTCTTGCTTTCATTCCTGAAAACGATTTTTGAGAAATGACAATATTTACAAAATAGTTTCTATCTGGAGGTTTAGAAGTGACTGTTGAAAGCAGGCTCATGAAAAAAAAAAAAAATTATAAAGCACTGCATACAAAACAAATTTGCATAAAACACACAAACAGATGACATACTGCTCCTCTTGTATAATGGTACTATAATTATCTGCCAGCAATGAAACCAACTGATTAAAGATTACCCAGGACTTGTGAAGTTTGCATCTTTCCTTAGTTATTTTCTACTATATTTCGTTTTCCTTCCAGAAATCATGGGAAGTTGTTATCTCACTGCCTTATCACACAAGCACCAGGAATATCAGTTAGTAAACCAGCACTATTTGTAAGGGAGAAATAAATAATTGCTCTGACAGGTTTCAGAGCTTCTCTACACAACATCCAACTCGAGCACAGGTGCGAGTTTTACATGGTTGTTAGGTGCTAAAAGTTCTTCACAACCTCTGCCCTCTAGATTTTATCCCGAAAGATAATTGTACTGGACAACCTGGTCATGCCGAGCGCCTTCACTGCAAGCAAGCAAAAGCTCCATTTCATTTTTTTTTTTCCTTACTAGGGAAAGGACAGGGTCTTTTAGGGTTTTTTTCAAGTATTTCAATCAGTTTCACAGTGTCTGGTTGTCACTATTTATTTTTTTCCCTGAAACTAGCATGGGTTTTCAGCAAGCGTCATCTTAGGAATTAACACAGCAAAAGAAAATAAACTACTCACTCTTTTTTTTCCGGAAAATCACAAACAGTCGCATACACACACAAACACAACTTTAACGCGTTGATACACATCCGATACAAACAACGCGATCTGACACAAACCCGCTAAGGAACCAGGAGGAGGTTTTACAGGGCAACAACCTTCTTTCGCGGATTAATTAAAAGTTTTGAAAGGCACGACGGCTAGCGCAACCGCCAGCCCTGCAGGCGAGCAAGGGCTCGGAGTTATCACCGGGCTGAGAGCGGTCGGGGGCTGGGGCAGAGGCGGCTCCCCCCGGGCACCTGCCGGGGCTGCGGGTCCCGGGCCCCTTCCCCGCCCCGGGGCTGCGGCTGCGCTGCCCGTCACTGCCGGGGTGGCACGGGCTGCGCTGCCCTCACCAGCTCCGCTCGGGGGAGCGTAGGGCGGCTGCCCGCGCATCCATCCATCCATCCATCCATCCCTCCCTCCGTCCCCCGCACGGCCGCGCTGTACCTGGGCGAGTACCGCGCTCCCGTGGCGAGGAGCCGCTGCCGCACGGGACCACCTTAAAGGGGAGCAGCGGGGCGGGGGAGGAAAAACGGGGGTGAAAAAAACAAAAAAAAACAAAACAAAACAAAAATTTTTAAAAAGGAGAAAAAAATCAACAGAGAAAGGGAGGATAGCGGAAAAAGGAACGAGGAAGAAACGGGTCACCCCGCCGTGCCGCGGCTCACCTTCGTTGCCGGGGCGGGCGCTCAGACGGCCGGCAGCACCGAGCGCGGCGCGGAGCAGCAGCAGCAGCGGGAGGAGCAGCAGCAGCGGCGGCGGCGGTGGCGGCAGGCGGCGGCGGCGGTCCATGTCGGCGGGGCAGAGCGCAGGCACAGCCGCATGTCTCCGCGCCGCATGCCACCGCTCCGCGCCCGCTCCGCGCCGCCGCCACCGGCCCCGGCGCCGGGACCATGCCCCGCGCCCGCCTCCGCGCTGCGCCCGGGAGGGGCCGCCCCCGCCCGGCCCCGCCGCCGCCGCCGCGCAGCCCCCGCCCCGCGCCCCGCCCCGCGCCCCGCCCCGCCTGCCCGCAGCGGAGCCTGCCCTCAGCCCGCGGAGGTGCCCCGCTAGCCCCGGGAGGTAACCCCGAGCCTGCCCTCAGCCCCGGGAGATAACCCCGAGCCTGCCCTCACCTCGCGGAGATGCCCCGGAGTCCGCCACAAGTCCCGGGAGATAACCCCGAGCCTGCCCTCACGCCCGCGAGGTGCCGCCCGGCCCAGTCCCGTGAGGTGCTCCCGAGCCAGGCCCGGCCCCGGGAGGTTGTCCTGTCACCCGGAGCAGGGCTCGGCAGTAGGGCTGGGTGACACGAGTCACGTAACTCGGGAGCCTCGGGTGGGTTGCAGCCAGCTACGAGCCGGTCGTGTCCAATTACCGGGCTCTCCCCGGAGGAATGCAGCGGCAGAGCAGCGGTAAAAGCTCGGGAGTTTCAGGCTGCAGCCGTGCAGGAGCGAGCGCCAGTTCCATCGTTCGTGCCTTGGCTGCCCGCGGTGACAGCCCGCACCACGCGGGGACACAAGTGCGGCCCCAAGAGCGGGCTGGCTCTGCCATCACTAAAGCAAACTGGAGCAGGGGCCTCCAGCCGAGAGCTGCTCTCTGTAGGAGTGTGTACCTCTACTCTAGAAGTTGCCGTGTAAAATGAGTTTTTTCTTCATGCTTGCACCTTTCCTTCTGCCCTTGTAGCCCGTCAGAGGCCCCAGAGTACCTGTCAGAGCACAGAGCAGAGAAACAGAGCTGCTATTCTGCTGCTCTCAGGGGGAATCACTGCAGAGCAGCGCTTCCCAAGCTTCCCCTTCTGCAGATCGTTTTTTTCAGAATATGGACAACTTCCTTCCCAAGTGACTCGTCTCAGGTCTCCAGAGTCACCCAGCATGATTCTGTTGAAAATGGGGAAATATCTGAATAATACTGAGGTCAAATAAATATTTCACTCCAAACCAAAGCTATGCATCCTCCTAGTACAGAGGCTGGCTCTGAATGCATGTGGCTGTCTGCACACACAGCAAGAAACAGGATGGGAGGAGAGGAGCCTCTGGCAGCAGATGTGGAACTACATCTCAGAATCAACATCAAAAACCTTTGACAGCAGAGAAACCGATCCCCAGTGTTTCTCAAACCAGTGTGGCAAACATCTGAACAGCCTCCTTCACATTGTCCCGGTGTCCTCAGGGTCACCAGTGCCAGCAGGACAGCTGGGAACTGCTACCACCTGAGCTCCAGGTTCATCAAACACAGAATCACCAACTTGCTTCAACAGTGATGCAGCTTCCCTGCAGCAGAAGAGGAGGTGCTGGACGGGTTGCAAGCCAGGACCTGTGCCAAGGTCTCTCCTGCACAGTATTGGCACCCCCCAAACATCTGGTTTAACTGTGCACTGCACTGAAGGGGTTGGAAACCAAAGCAAAGCAGAGACAAGGCTGTGAGAAGTCATCTCAGACAGGTTCCTGGTTCAGGAGAGCACAGGGGAGGACATGGGCACTGAAAATTAACATGATATTAATCTCCTTTCCTGTTTCCAGGCTTGATTATTCAATCAGCCAAATAAAAGAATCATCAAATTTAATACTGTTTGTTTCATGTCTCCAACTCTTCCTTTCACTCATATTTACCATCTACCCAGTTTCCTCTGTGGTCAGACTTCCAAGAGATGGAAAAAATGTCCAGAGCTCTTGAGCAGGAAACTTGCAGGGGCAGAGGGAGGAGCAGGGTGCTCTGGTCATGCAGTTAACCATGTATGGCCCAGAGAAAAACATCTCCTGTCCTCCTTTATCCTTCTCAAGTCTCATTTCACCACACCTTTCCATTCATTGGACAAGGATGCTTTTCCACAGCAAAAAGGCCAGAAATTCACATTCCTCAAAATATAACTTTCCCTTGTAATAAAAACTATTTTGCTTTAGTTTGAAGGGGGTTTTTCCCGAACATTTACCTCAACTTTTTTATAATATACAACTTTTTTTTCTTCATTGAGTTCTCTCATACAACAGAGATACATCCTTAAAACCCTACTAAGTTCTCAGGACTACTAGTTCTGAAGCTGCATCTTTCTTTCATGATTTCAGGTCTTTTTTTTTTTTTAAGGTATGAGAAAAAGGTGAAAGAAAAAGGGTAAAGAAGGAACAAATATGGGGGGTGGGGAGGAACAAAAATGGCAATCAATCCAAAATCCAAAAAACTTCTGTTTTCAGTTAGTGGAAAAAAAGTATTTCCAAAGAAGGGACTTTATGAGGTTACTCATAGCAATCACTTTCCAAATTTGTAAATATCTCAGCATCAGTGAACTCATCTCATATAGGAAGAAAAGTATAATTATCAACACAATCCATATAATACAAATTTTAGTATCAAACTTTCCACAAAGAAAACCTCCCAAGTGAAAAAATGAATAGCAGAAATGCTTGGAAAAATTTGAAACAAAGAATGCATTTTTAAAAAACCTCACTAAAAAAACCCCACAAACCTGGGAAAATTCTCAGCAGGAAAGAAAGATTAAATTCATTACAAATTTCTCACTAGGCTTTTTTCTCTGTGACGTACGTTGTGTTAGTTTTGTGCAAATTGCATGTTTACTCTATTAAGAGTAATTTTCTGTGAGCTTAAAGGGCACCTTTGAAGAAAGAAAATAGCCTCTAGTGGCATTTCTACATAACCAGAGTGCACATGGTAATATCTTTGCCCTAGCATCCATAAAATCCTTCTGGAGAAACACATAACTATGATTTATGATTTTCTGCCAAGCCTGGGCTTTAATTTCTTTAATATATTGGAGATCAAAATCCTTACTAAACACAAATTTTATCTCTTACATTTTTCTTTTGTAAACAGGGAGGTGACACATTCTGTGATTGTATAATGGAAAAAAGAAATCATAACACATGGGCAGAATGCTCCAGATCCCACGTTTGCATACTAAATAGGAAAACAACTTTCTACCTAATGAAAAAATGCTACAGATTATTAGGAATAGCCACAGAAGTAATCAATCAATTTCTCCAATGAACTGGGCCACAGCCTGCTTCCAAGAAGCTTTTTAATGTTTATGGCTCTTGAGTGGCATCGTTTAATTAATTGAATGGTACAAAACTTCTAATCTTAGAGATTTAAAGTATTTTCCTTAAAAACAAACAAAAAGAATTAATGACAGGTTCACTACTCATAAAGAAAGGTGGCTGGACAGTCCCCCATTTATTCAGGGAGGAGGAAGAACAGTGGTCCCCAAGTGATGCCTCGCCTGTGCCTCCGTGGGATTGCTGGGAGGCGTGAGAACATTTCCCCCTCAATTTCTGGGATTTATTTATGCAGGTTCTTGTATATATATACATACATATATATATATGTATATATATATGTACGTATATATGCGTGTGCATCTGTTTTAATATTAACTATTTAGTGTTCAGGTAAAAAATATTATAGATGGAAGCATTGCTGCTTGATGGAAGCAATGCTTGACTTCATCCTAAATCTGACATGAGCCACTCTAGGAGATGGTGACCAAGGAGGAAATACCTTCCCACGAGCCACCAAGTAGATTTCCTTGGTTTAAACATTCTTTGGGAGAGGTTTTACAGCATAACTCAAAGGTCTCCTAATGCACAGTGTCGCCCTGAAAATGCAAGCAGATGAGGAAATGCAGGATGTGGAAGAGTAAAAGGCAGGATGCAATAAAAACAAATGATAATGAAGTGTGAAAAGTTACTTTAAATAAGTCATGTAAAGCTAAGCTATAGCCCTTCCAATCAATACTTACATAATAATTATGTGAAAATCCAGACAAATGGATTAACTAGACAGCATAAAAAACTCAGCTTTAAGCAGCAACAAAGCTGAACTTGTAATTATGAAACAACTGCACACCAATCCCACAATGAAAAAAAGTGTGGAGATAGAAAAGGGTAGAAAAGCAAAATGCAAATGCATTTGAGCTGCAAGTTTTCCCCATAAAGCCTGAATCGTTTGTTAAATATGCAATAAAAAGGTGACAGTCCAAGCACTTAGACTGAATTTACCTATCTGTAAACAAAAATCTATAGAAGCCATAAAAGAAAAGCTTCACCAGCGTTACTGCCAGTTTTCAAAGAAAAGCAACATTTATGTGCAGGAGAGAGTATTGCTACCATGAAAGAGCTTGCCAAATTTTAGCTCTAGGATGGAGTACTTACAGTAGAAATCCATAAATCCTGTAAAACCAGACTGTATTATGGAGACACTGGCAGACCTCCAATAAGGTGCCTAATGATAAGTTTGATCAGTTTGCTTTTCTTCTTGCAGGTCACAAAGAATGTTCAGAAATTTCATTTGTAAGTCTAGAAAAAAAAGACAAGCAAGAAAAGAAATTATTTATTCTCAGTTCAAGGCAGGGTTGGACACAAAATAGGCAGACAGATTTTAAAATAAATATGACAGTACTTATAATACCAGGGATCAACATCCAATCTGGGGAATGCACTTGGAGAGCACACGGGCAAAATTCTGTAATCTGGCTGAGCTGGATTGGAAGAATTCCCTTGTCTTTGCAGAGCCAGGCTTGCACACTGACAGCAAAATAGGTTGTCTATTTTTGCCAGCTAAAAACCAGAGAGAAACACTCATGGCCAACTGCAATTTTAAACAGCAGAATGCAAACACTCTGAAGAGTCTGTGTGCACATGTGAGAACTCCTTAACAGTTCCATTTCCACAGGGAACTTTTTGCACTTATTTGTTGATTATCTTCTTTTTTTTTTTTTTGCGTCAGTAAAGAATACCTGAGATTCTTCAAATGATGAAGAGATTTTTCATTTGAAGAGATTCT